CTATTATTTTTTTATTTATTTATTTATTTTTTTTCTTTTTATATATATATATATATATATATATATATATATATATACATACAGTTTGTCGTTTTCATTTATTACATTAAGGTTTAAATGGTTATTATGATGATGTCTCATCTATCCAATCCATGCCATTTTCCCCCAAGCTCGTCTAAATTAGTCTGGAGTAAGTGTCCTCTATCTGAACACGGGCTGTAATGATCATAAGCACTTGAAAAATCCTGCTGTGATTGCATGTCTTGTATTCTAGGCTCTGTCTAGGGCCGGTTATTATCATCATCTCCACGCATCGCTTCTGATTGTTCACGTAATTAGCTGCAGTTCCGCATCTGTCTGTAGGGGGCGCCAAAAAGACGCTTTTATTCCAGCGCGCCCTGAGACTGAAGGTCTCTCAAGGTTAAAGCGTTTATTGCTGCATCAGCCTCACACGCTGGTCTTTTATGAGGGCACAACGCCATGGGCATTTAAATGCCCAGTAAAAGCAGCTCACTGCTGCAAATCTAACTGCCCACCTGCTGCCCACCACGAAGTAGCACTTACTTTTTCATCCTTATTAATGTGCCAAATCTGGGCCTGCCACAGAAAACAGACCTGTGTGCTTTGCACCCGAGCGTGCATTCGTTCTTTTCGTGATTACAATTTCAATGCTTGCCATTAAACACCGGGACTAAAAGTAACAGGGCTGTGACATTTTGAAAATAGGGACAATGCCTCAATACCTGTTTTGAGCTTATTATGAACTAGTCAATATGAGGTGTCAAATAGATTGAGTGCTACAGCGGGCAGTTTTTATTATGAACCAACACACTTTATAACACCAGAGGTATTGTTTCTAGCTAATATATTATTCTGGACTTATGAGCCTGTTCATCATTGGTAACAGTCGCACCACTCACATCCTGAGAAAAGAGCTATGTGGGAACATAGACTCTATTATTTAAGGCCTGTTGGCAAAGTGTATTATTTCCATGGTTCATCTGAAAGAAAAAGCGACATTAAATGTTAATTTAGTACTTAGAAATGTTTGAACTACGGAAACTTGTTTCCATCAAGAAATAAAGAAATAAGAAAGGTCTTTTTATCTCACAATTTTGAAATTTGAATTGTGAGATATAAACTCAAACTTTTGAGAAAAAATTCATAATTGTATATATTATAAAAAAAAGTATATATAAACTCAGAATTGCAAGATTAAAAGTGTGATAAGTAGTCACAATTACTTTTTTATTTTTTTATTCCATGGCAGAAAAGAAATCCAATACTTTTGCCAGCAAATAATAAAACACATCATAGACTACTGAGTTGAGAGCCGTGTTTAGTGAGCAAAATTGTCTCTTTTTTTTTTTTAAACATACATCAGTATGAACATGCTAAATACCACTCAGAACAACTTAGCAACCACACAGAAATGACCTTGCGACACTCCTCAACACTCTATCATTACGTTGCAGTCTTCTGCACGGATAATCACTTTTGTTGCAGATGTAAAAATCTAGTCAACATCTTAATTTAGAACATCATTTCGAATGGGATTTTGTATGTAAGCGTTTGATAAAGCAGCTGTCTTATTGCACAAAGAAAGAGAGAGAGAGTTGATCAACTATAAGCAGTATTTTGTCATACACCTACATAAAAGCCTAAAGTGCTGACACACTTTGCTTATATCAGGATCATTGTCTCGAGTGCTATTATTGTTTAAAAGAAGGCCATATGTGAAGCTAAAGTGTCTGTGAATGTTTGATCATTTTTTGCACACGCTGATCTCTGCACTTATAATATTACTGCACCATACTGTGGAGGTTTAATGCTTGAAAAGATCTCTTTACAAGATAAATGCTCTTCATACCATAGAATTATCGATTCTGAATCTGGTTGACAAACCTTCTAAGGTATTATGCATTATAATTAATTACTCATTTAATGATTAAAGGTTTCAGTGATTTCAATACTAATAAACAAAGTCCTAAATAATTAGGTATTCCATACATATGCATATATATATATATATACTGACCTCACAGATTTTTACAAATATCAGATTTCACAGTGGGGCATTACAGTGGCACAGATATAACTTTTCTCAGCCAATAAGCAAGAAGTCAGAGATTGTCTTTCGGATGAGACGTTAAACCGAGGTCCTGACGCTCTGTGGTCATTAAAAATCCCATGGCACTTCTCGTAAAGAGTAGGGGTGTAACCCCGGTGTCCTGGCCAAATTGCCCCCCTGGCCTTTGTCAATCATGGCCTCCTAATAATCACCAACCACTTGATTGGCTCTATGACTCTCTCTCCTCTCCACCTGTAGCTGGTGTGTGGTGAGCGCACTGGTGCTGTTGTCCTGTGGCTGCCGTCGCATCATCCAAGTGGATGCTGCACACTGGTGGTGGTTGAGGAGAGACCCCCCCACATGATTGTAAAGCGCTTTGGGTGTACAACAATACACAATAAAGTGCTATATAAATGCATTATTCATTCATTCATAAACAGCCAATAGATTGAATATTTTCAGACTGCAAAAAATATTTTATCATTCAGTATTTTTGACTTGTTTACAAATATCCTAATATTCATAAATCAAGATACATCTACTTGAGAAGGAAAATTACTCAACATATTAATTCTTGTTTTCTGAAATAGGGGGTTAGGAAAATAAACTTAATTCAAAGGGAAAACAAATATTTTTTTGACCACATTGACAGATATTGTTCTTGTTTTAAAGGAATAATTCACCCAAAAATGAAAATGTGCTTAAAATGTACTTACCCTCAAGCAATCCAAGACGTAGATGAGTTTGCTTCTTCATCGTAACAGATTTGGAGAAACGTAGCATTAAACCATTTGCTCACCCTCCTCTGCAGTGAATGGGTGCCGTCAGAATGAGAGTCCAAACAGCTGATAAAAACATCACAATAATCCACGCAATGCGAACAATTAACATCTTGTTGAAAAGTGAAAAGTTGTCTTTGTAAGGAACAAATCCATAATTTAGGCTTTTTAACTTTAAACCGTTGAAATGCCTAATAATTAATAATAATGCTTGCCCCAATGAAAAAGTCCATCCCTTGTTGTCTCTCACATCAAAATCCACTGCCACTGTTTTCACTTTGCATATTCCTCTTCTGATTCACAAGACTTTAATCGATGGACTTGATGTACGTGTGGATTACTTGTTTTGCTTGATTATTGTGATCAAACAATAATCAAGTTTTCATCAGCTGTTTGGACTTTCATTCTGACGGCACCCATTCACTGCAGAGGATCCATTGATGAGCAAGTGATGTAATGCTATATTTCTCCAAATCTGTTCCCATGAAGAAACAAACTCATCTACATCTTGGATGGCCTGAGGATGAGAACATTTTCAATACATTTTCATTACTGGGTAAACTATTCCTTTAAGCATAAATTCACTAAACTTTGATAATTTTTAAAGAAAATTACTTCATATCTTATTTCATTTTGCTTCTCAAGTTAAATGTACCTTGATTTATGAATGTTTAGATATTTTACTGCAAAATGAGAAAATAAGTAACAAGTGAGTAACAATCCTCTTTTTTTTGCAGTGCAACCACCACTGAGGGCTGTGCTAGTGGTTTGATTACATGTAATTGAATCTGTCCACCAATTATGTCTGCAGCCCTTACACCTCTGCCATGGATATTGAGTTAGACCCTGATTGCCAGTACCGTGAGGCACTGTTTATTCCATTTATGTTATTATTATGGGAAATTTAATATCCAACATAAATGCATCAAGCGTTTAGAAACTCTAAAAGTCCGAATACGAAAACTTACTGAAAAAGAGAGAGAGAGAGAGAGAAAGTGTGTTTTAAGCTTTGACATGTGCTACTTAAGAGCAGCAGACTGTAAGAAACACATTTTAAAGATCCATAAATTAGCTGATGTCTTCTGGTTTTATTATACATCAGAGGTGTTGCCTGCAAAGAGCCTATTGATTTTCTTGAGTCTTTCACGTCGCACCAGCAGAAAGACGATAATAACTAAATCCATCTTCCTCAGACCTCAGTGGGAATGGACGCCTCCTACTAATGGGGCACTAAACAAAGCACAGCAGCCAATCTGGAGTGGAAGGCTGACACATCACAATACTGCTGAGAGTCATTCAGTAGGGATGCTTAAATTTCAGACTAATCAAAGAGCAGTGGCTAGTATTTAAAGGAATAGTTTGCACGAAAATAACAATTGTATTTACTCGCGTGCTTTTTGCATTCCTCTGTTTTCCATTGGTTTTCTATGGTAACATACTAGATGGAGGTGTTTGCGTCTCAAGTATTTCGCAGTGTCTTG